CATCTCGACGATGATAAGGCGGATCCGTTGCGCCCAGGGAGCGCAAACTGCAGCTACTTGCACAGCCACGATCGCTGCTGCTGCTTCTCCGACTGCTGCTGCTTCTGGCGCGGAGACCAATAGGGTTGAAGAAAACGCAGCGTTCAGAAGCTGGGTTGAAGAAACCCCCGCGTTCAAGAGTCCCCGTGTTGCAATGTCGGCGGAGTGGAATGACGAGCTCGGATACAGTAATTTGGATATCGGTACACCCCGCGGTAGGCCTGCTGGAGCTGCTGATAACGCGTACACGCACAAGCGACCCTGGCGTGTGCAAAGCGAAGATGTGATTGAGAGCGTTTCGTGCAATCCTTCGCCTCGCTACACTGTAACCTGCCCAGGCGACTTTCTCTCCTCTCCTCCAAACAGTGCATCCCTTTTTGGCTGCTCCGCTTTTGCAACGTTTGACAACCTTTACACACCGTTTTCCCATAAATCTCAAACGACTACAGTGGCTGCCATCCCCGTTACCAGCAACTCCAACCCACACAAGCACATTCGGCTGTGCCATGATGTTCCTTCATCTGTCCCTCATTCTCTATCTGGACCTGCTGCTGACCTGGCACAACCTGAACTTTCAGCGTCAGGGGCTACCTGGGCGCCTAGCAGCACTCAAAACACCGCTCCAGTGTTAGGCACCTTTGGCCTCCCTGTCCCGGGCGCACGGGTGGCATTGGCTGGACCTCCAACGGGTTTTTTCAGCAACGGCAGAAATTGGCAGATGAGTGGTGCTTCTCCTGTGACCATGCGCCTGGGAGTTGAGCATGGTTGCACTGGTACCACCAGCTGCCTACCTCCTTTACAACAAAGGCCAACACATGTGGTAAAGGAACAACCGGAATGTTATGAGGGCACTGCAGTCCCAAGGGGCATGAATGAGTCAGAGGAGAATAATGAGGGCGAGAAAGGATGTGGAGAGGTTTGTGATGGGGAGACAGATGATACCCCAGTTCAACACGACAGCTGCAAGAATACGGAAAATCTCTTGGATCTAACTCTGTCACTTGGAGGGGTCTTGTATGTAGAACGCGGGGTGTAGGTCTTTGAGCTGGCTGTACTCCATAAATGGTTATTTCTTGTATATTTCTGCAAATATCAAATGTAGAGCATCTGGAAATGCTGATATAGCCTGCGAAATGCTACACCACATCGTGAAAGTTGGGATAGGCGAACTCTGGTTACTTCTTGACATTGCTGAGTTGTCATGACTGTAATGTCGCAATGCTGGGGGTCATTTCGCGAACGCCGGCGTCCATGCGACTTCCTTCGTTACCATGCATGCGAAAATCGCCTAGCCATGACAAACCCCGTCATTCCTTGACCAACGTGATGGAAGGAAGCGCCCCCCGCAAATGCTGTGTTGGCGGTGCGATTCGCCAGCGCAGTGCTGCTCGGAGCGATGCTTCTCCAGCAATTTCTCCCTCTTCCATTTTCCGAATCCCATTCGTTTTTCCCATGCCCATCCACAACTCCCTCCCCCACCCCAACCCTTTTCCTCCTTCCACCAATCCTTCCCTCCACAACATTCTTCCTTTTCCACCGTCCACGCCGCAAGCATTCCCTTCCTTCCACAGCACTGCTGGCAGCGGTTTTCTGCACCCGCACCAGCAAGCAACCTCTCTATTTTCTCTCATCAGCCTTCTACTAGCTTGAGGAAGTAGGACTGACTCCCCGCCATTCTCTTCTCTCCAGTTTCAATAAGAGTTCTCTAACCTGAAACTCGTTCCTTTGTTCAGAACTGCCAGTGACTGCACGCCCGTCTGTTACTGTAATACAGTTTGTCGCCATGAGTCGCTTAACTCTATGGATAGCATTGATATCAACTCTCTTCATCCTTGGGTCTGCAGTCACGGAAGCCAATCACGCTTCGAACCCCGCGTCGTCCTCGGAACTTCCTGAAACCCAAGCGAATGATCGTCGCCTACTTTCGCCGACGAATCGTCGCCTGCTGTCGCGCGACGGCGGCGGCTTCAGCGACAGCGAGATGGAGGCGATGCACGACAGCATGTGGCGCTGGCGCAACTCCATGGACCGCTCGCGCCGCAGGGGCGGAAGAGGCGGCGGAATGATGGGCGGAAGAGGCGGCGGCGGAATGATGGGCGGAGGAAGGGGCAAGGCGGAAAAAGAATCCGCGGAAAAGGAAGCTTTCCCCGAGGGCGACTGCGGGGGAAACGGTGGCGGAGAGAGTCAGGAGGCCCCCCATCTGGAGCTCATTCGACGAAGCATGCGAGCCGTTGGATTGATTGCGGGAATTTCTGGGGGTTCGACGAGCGCCGCCGCCACCACCACGAACGGCGGCAGCACCTTGATGCGCTTCGGCGGGAGGCGAATGAGTTTTCCTCTCATGCATATGCATCATGAACGCATGCACGTGCCCATGATGGGTATGGGTATGGGTACTATGAACGAACACCCGATGCATTTTCGAGCAGGTACTGAAGCTCCCGAGGTTGCTCCTCTGCGCAGTTCGACTCCCTGCGCGTTCTTCTCCTCCATCTGTGACTTCTTCCGCCGTGTATTTGGCTCGTCTACTCCCGCAATCGAATTGGCCCCAAACGAGGATACCGCGGTTGGATCTAGTGGTATCGGCGCGCAGTATCCGCGGAGAATGATGCGCGGCAGAGCAGCGTTGGACACGGCATCGATGAGCACTTTTGACGCGTTTAAGAACAGCCTCGTTAATGGCCTTGTTATGGAAAACGATCAGGAGCATGCCATGACTGACGTGCCTGGTATGGACGAAATGATGGGGGATAGGGATGGTATGATGATGCAGGGGGATGATATGATGATTGATGCGGACTCCATGATGATGGATCGAGATAATATGATGATGCAGGGTGACAGCATCACAACAGACAACGAAAAGGTGATGATGCCAACTGGGGATGGCATGGTTGGAAGGCAGATAGAAGGCAAGGAGATGGAGGAGATGATGGAGGGGATGATGGGGGGGAATAGGATGATGCTGAGAGGTGACAATGCATAGCTAGTCTTTAAGTGTGTTTTTTAAGCACTAGCCTTAGATTAGATTGTTTTCCTAACGTTGTAGTGTATTCTTATTGTCTATTTGGTTACCAAAGAGAGAACTTGTGAAAGATTGCAGTGCATGTTTAGTCAATTAATCATTTTTTCGACAGTAACTGATTTATATTCTCGGTGTATGTAGATTCTTTGACATAATATGGAAAAACACGGAAATCGTAGAAACATACGTTTAACCAGTAAAGCGTCGTGTCGTAAAGTTGGGGGTTTGTACACAGTCGAACCTGGATACTAAGCGAGTACGTTCAAATTTCGAATGTCGAATTCAAATTCAAACTCCCATCCGTATTTCCGAATCGCTTGCAAATCTTCAACCACCATCGCGGACGACTGGTATCCACGAGATTTCGCGAACTCTTCTGATGTGTCGTCAATCCTGATCCAGCAGCGATTTCATATTTTCTCCGACAATGAACGACTGTTGCGAATTCTGACGACGACAGGCGAATCAAACGAGATTTTCACACCCCCAACTCCTCTGAGGCAGGTGATTCTGGATTTCAACTCCCACCCGCTCACCGGCCTCATTCATTTGTGTGCTTGATCATTCAAAACTCGAGTCCCTGCCTTACTGCGAGGGAGTTCTCAAGAATCGCAGTTTCTTTTCACGTCAATCGCATTCTAGTTCAGAAGTGCAGCACAACATCCCAACGTCCACCTCTGCTGCGAGTGTTTCACCTTCCTCCTCGCTCGAAATCCGACAGGTTAAATCAGCTGCGACAGCACGCACGACCCGAAGCTGCGACAACACGCGCGACCCAAAATGGATCACAGGCCGCCCTCGTTGGCGCATCCCAACAAACGTATCCAGCTTTTGCCGCCGTCCGATGCGGCAAATGGCTCCATCGCTTCGACCCCGATCCGCGAATACGACATGGAATCGGGGATGGACATTTTGAGAGTCAAGGGACGAGTTAAGTCTCTAGACAGTATCGGCCATGGCAGTGCCAGTGCAGCAACGAAACCTCGTAATGCCGGTGCCGAACATTCTCGTAAGCTCGACGAGCCGCCGAAAGAAGATGGCGGGAAATCGAAAGCTCTTGCAACCGCGGAAGACGGAGAAAATCATGCTGACGAGGATAATGGAGTGGCGAAGAAGGAAAAGAAGAAGAAGCTTCGGTGCTCCTTCTGCGATCAAACCAGCTCGGACGAGGTGAGTTTCAGAAAGGCCCGCGTTACGTCCGCAAACAGTTTGGTGAAGTGCTCCGATTGCAATATCTGCCATCTTGTGGCGTCTTGTACGGAAGCGCGGAAATTGTGTCGCTTTGGAGCTGTCAGCGGCGGCCAATACGATACTACCTTCCGGTTTTCTACTCGGAATTTCACCAACAGCATTTTCTCTCTCTTCCTTTCCGTGCGTCAGTCGACCGGGGCTTTGGTGGCGGTGGACGAAAAGGGCGTGGCTTTTGAGCTCGCGGGCGATCTAAGTCCCAACGAGATCTGCGTCCACGAGGATTGCCTTCTCTGGTGAGTTCAAACGCTTATATCGGGGATAAGCACATGATATTGGAGTCCCAACGAGATATGCGTCCAAGAGGATTGCCTTCTCTGGCGAGTTCAGAGTTTCGTATCGATAATATCCATATAAGCTTTGAGTCTGACGAGCTTTGCGTTTACAAGGGCTGCCTCGCTTAGGGTGCAACTGGTTCATTTGGGTCAAGTGGTGATTGGAAACGACGATGGTAGACTGTTCTACGAAAGAACCGGTACATTATTAACTTTAGTCTCTCGCTCCCCTGATTTTCTTGAACTCCCTCATGGGCTCACGCATCGGCGGCTCAAGGGCCTATTCGTGAACGCGCAGAAGGAGCTTCGCCGATCCAGCAAGCCACCTCACTCTTGCTCCATCAACTCCCGCACGCTTCGCTCCGCCCCACAGATCCCCGGGGGGGCATTTCACCAAGGGCCGTTTCATGAACATGCAAAAGAGCTGCGCCGATCGGGCGGGCTCTATTGCACCATCACCTTCCCCCCCTGTCCACCCCGCACTTCTTTACGCTCCCTTGCTTCCCGCGTCTTCCCGGCCGCAGGTCCCCCGAGGTGCATCTCACCAAGGGGCGATTAATGAACGTGCAGAAGGAGCTGCGCCGATCGTGGGGGCTTCGCTTTCCCATCGACGCGCCCAACAATTCGTCCCTCTCCCTTCAACCTTGCTCCCTCGCTCCGCCACTCCCCCCGCAGGTCCCCCGAGGTGCATTTTACCAAGGGTCGGTTCATGAACGTGCAGAAGGAGCTGCGCCGATCGGGAGGGCTCACTTCCCCATCACCCTTCCCCCCACACACCACCCCACCTTCTCTCGTTTCCGCTCCCTTTGTTTTCCGCGTCTTCCCGGCCGCAGGTCCCCCGAGGTGCATTTCACCAAGGGCCGGTTCATGAACGTGCAGAAGGAGCTGAGCCGATCGGGAGGGCTCTGTTGCACCATCACCTTCCCCCCCTGTCCACCCCGCACTTCTTTACGATCCCTTGTTTTCCGCGTCTCCCCGGGCGCAGGTCCCCCGAGGTGCATTTCACCAAGGGGCGATTCATGAACGTGCAGAAGGAGCTGCGCCGATCGGGCGGGCTCTATTGCACCGTGTGCGGCGGGCGCGGCGCGGCGCTGGGCTGCCGCGTCCCCGCGTGCCGACACACGTACCACGTGCCGTGCGCGCGTCGCACCCCAGGCTGCCACTTCGACGAAGTAAGCTTGCCCGCTTTCGCACAATTGCCTTCCTGCTTGCATGTGTCCCCGCATGCCGACACACGTACCACGTGCCGTGCGCACGTCGCACCCCCGGCTGCCACTTCGACGACGTAAGAAAGCCACCTGATTGCTCGCGCACTTTACTGTAGTCACTTCGGTTGAATCAGCACGCCCTTGATCCGCACACTTTCTACATGCACTCGCAGGACGCTTACGTGCTCTCCTGCCCGCAACACTCGCCCGTGAGCATCGAACCGAAGAGATTCAAACGCAAGAAAAGGTGTTACTTTTAGCTTCCATTATACCCTCTATGTCCACACCCTTTATACGCACCCCTCCAGGACGCGTACGTGCTCTCCTGCCCGCAACACCCGCCCGTGGGCGCCAAACCGAAGAAACTTAAACGCAAGCAGCCGTCCCCGCCGGCGCCGCCGCCGCATGCGGACGAATCGGACGAGGAGGAGGCGGGGAATGCAGACGATGCGCGGCGGGGGAAGGAGAACGCCCGCGCGCCCCCCGTTGCGGGGAAGAACCAGAGGCGCGCGCGGACTGGCGCAGGGGGGAGGGGCGCGGGGGCGGGGGGCAGAAAGTCTGTAGTGGTGCCCGAGGTTCCTGTAACGAAAGATGTGACTATAAAGGGCGCTGTCAAGGACGTCACTATGAAGGATGTGACTATGAAGGGCGTAGCGGCCGTGAAAAGCAAAGAAGAGGATGCGGCACGAGTGGCGAAATTATCAGCTCCTGTAATCAAGGTTCCTGTGACAAAAGCTGTGACTATGAAGGGTGTGACTTTGAAGGATGACGTTGCAGTGGGGAAGAAGACAGAAGAGAGTGTGGGCAAGGAGCGCAGATCGGTTGAGAGAGGTGAGTCCAACGTTGATTAGGCTTTTGGAGAACAACCTTGGCTCCTGAAATCGGTGTTTGAAATGGTGAGAGGGATGTGAGGCTGCTGATGCAACTCGTCATGCACTCATGTTGAAATGTATGAGGAAATCCAATTTCCGTTTCCTAAAATGTCTGCGCTCATGTTTTGTGATTTTCAGGTTCGTCTCCTGTAGTATCTCCCGAGAAGATTCCTGTGGAGCCTGCACCCAAAAAAGTTACCTCTACCACCACTGGTGCTGGTGTTGCCGCTGCTGATGGCGGCGACTCTGCTGCTGATCCTGTTACTACTGCTGCTGCTGGTGCTGCTGCAGCTGCAACTCTCAGGAATACATCAGGAGCTAATGCTACAAAGAAGGACAAGGGCAAGGGAGTAGCGGAGGGGGACGGCGAGCAGGACACAGGAAGAAGCACCAGCCTTGGAGCGCCAAACGCAATGGCTCCCTGTAGTAGCAGCAAGAGAGGGCAACCCTGTCTTAATGATCCATCCCCCAAGGCTCAGGGTAGCGTCGCTTCTGTTGCTCTTGCTGACGATGCTCCGACGAAGCTGAATCCGCAGGCTCGGGTGACTACTAAAGCGGGTAACGAAGCTGTCTTTAAGGTGCCTCAACCAGTGGTTAAAGTGTCTCAGCCTGGTGCCTCAGAGAAAGGGAAGGAGGGTGAGAAGGGAGAGAATGGAGAGAAGGGAGAGAAGAGAGAGGGGGGGAAGGAGGTGAGGGAAGTTGAAGCTGCTTTTGAAGAGGATATAGTAAAGGAAGGGAGGGGCAAGGAGATGGGGAAGAAAAATGAATCGGCAGCAGCAGTTGGTGCTGCTGCTGCTACTGCTGCTGTTGCTGCTACTGCTGTTGGTGGTGGTTCTGCTTCTGCTGCTGGTGCTGCCGAGGTGGCTGTGAGCATTGGAGCAAGCCAGGGGGTTGCAGTGACAGGAGGCACTTCTTCTTGCTCTAGGAACAGCGGCAAGCCTCCCAGGTATGGAGATGGGGAAACAATTAGGGATAGCAGTGGTGCAGTGCGGTTGAAGTGACAGGAGACGTGTCTGCTTGCTCGAGACACAGCAGCAAGCCTCCCAGGTATGGAGATGGGATAAAGTGAGGAATAGCAGTGGTGCAGTGCGGTTGCAGTGACAGGGGACACTTCCTCTTGCTTCAGGAACAGCGGCAAGCCTCCCAGGTATGCGAACACATTACGTGCGTTCCCATCGAATCTAGCCTACGCCCTAGACTCTGATCTGTGCTTCCTCTCCGGTTCTCCCTTCCCACCCTTACCATGCCTTGTTCCTTCCCTCTCCGGTAGCTGCTTCTTCCTTCAGGTGCTGGCAGTGAATTCTCTGCAGGCCAGCCCATGCGGATCTCAAGCAAATGTACCCATTCTAACCTGTGCTCCCCCTCCCCCACTTTGTTCCTTCCTATCCTGTTTTTTGCCTCTCCCTCCTGCAGCCAGTGGGTTCTGTGCGGGTCAGCCCTTGACTCACCTCCCGAGATTCATAATGTGACTCTCAAGCGAACGTACCAACTCAGGCCTGTGCTTCCCCTACTTTGTTCCTTCCTCTCTGGCTCTCTGCTTCTCCCTCCTGCAGCCAATGGGTTCTGTGCGGGTCAGCCCTGGATTCAGCGTCCAAGGTGAGAGAGCCACAGCTTGCAGCCACATGTGATGTGATGTGACTGCATGTGATGTGACTGCATGTGTGGTGTGATAATAAGCCAATATGCGGCTGTTCTAAAGTTTGTGATGATTAATATTATCTGTAGTCTCATCACTAGTCAAGTGTAGCTGCACATTTTCCTCCCTCCCCCCCCCACCCCACCTCACTCTCCCTCCTCTCCCCTCCCCTTCCCATAGGCCCGCCTGCTCAAATTCGCTGACGCAATGAGCGCACAGCTGACGTCAGACTGGAGTCCACGTGTCACCCATCTATTGGTTGGCACGGATTCCGAGGGGAAGGCGCGGAGGACGCTCAAGATGGTGATGGCAATCCTGCACGGGCAGTGGGTACTTAGTAGCAAGTGTAAGTGTTTCACTTAGCAGCAAGTGCAAGAGTTTTGATGAAAGTTACCAGCAGTGCTGTTGTTCACTCTCAGCAACACCAGGATAATGATGGCGATCCTGCATGGGCAGTGGGTGCTCAGCAGCAAGTGTAAGTGTTTCACTTAGCAGCAGGTATGAGTGCTTCGCTTAGCAGCAAGCGTGACTGTTGTGATTAGCATCAAGTGTACGTCTCCTGTTCAGCAACAAGTGTTCCGCTTCCCCTCCTTGCTCCCCGCTTCAGGGCTACCATCCCCTCCCACCGCAGCCTCCCCCACTACCATCCCCTCCCACCGCAGCCTCCCCCACCATTACCCCCCTGCTTGCCGAGGGACCGTTTGAGGTGTTCTGTGTCACGCATGACGAGACAGCCACCCCTTGCCCCCTCTTCCTCCCACATGCTCTCCTCGCTCCCTTGCTCTCTCTCCCCTCCCACTTCAGGGTTACCATTCTCTTCCACACCACTCCCCCCACCTCCCCGCCTGCTGAAGGACCGTTTGTGGTGCTCTGTGGCTCCGCCCGTCTTGCTCCCTCCCAAGGATGGTAACCCTGAAAGTAACATGCTCTCCCACTCTGGCCTGCCTGCCTGCTGAGGGACCGTTTGAGGTGCTCTGTAACTCGCACGACAAGAGTCGAGCCTCCCTTGCCTCCTCTTCCCTCCTCGATGCCCCCTCTCTCCGCACATCAGGGCTGCCATCCTCCCCCACTCTGGCCTGCCTGCTGAGGGGCCGTTCGAGGTGGCGTGTGAGTCGCATGACCAGAGTCAAGCTCCCCTTGCCTCCTCTTCCCTCCTTGCGGCCCTCTTTTCCCGCACATCAGGGCTGCCATCCTCTCCCACTCTCGCGTCTCTGCCTGCCGAGGGGCCGTTCGGTGTGCTCTGTGACTCGCATGATGAGATTCAAGCTCCTCGTGCTCCCACACGCCCGCCTTGCTCCCTCTGCTCCCGCTTCAGGGTTACCCTCCTCCCCCACTCTGGCCTCTCCGCCTGCTGAGGGGCCGTTCGAGGTGGCGTGTGACTCGCATGACGAGTCTGGTGGGGCTACACGCGGCAGGCTGCACTATGCGGTGAGTGCAGAGAGCGCGGCTGTAGCACGGCTGTTGCACGGCTGTAGCACACATGGAGCGTGGCTGTAGCACGGCTGTAGCATATCTGAAAGCATGTGAGGCGCTCTGTGACTCGCAATGACGAGTCTGGTGGGGCCACATGCGGCAGGCTGCATTATGCGGTGAGTGCATGGCTGTAGCACGGCTGAAGCAAGGATGGGCGGTAGCAGGCCGGAATCTTGGCTGTAGCAGGGCTGTAGCAGCGGTAATGGAAGTCTGGAACTATGCTCAGTGAATTGCCCGCTGAGTCTGACCTGACGGGGATGCGTGCGGCCGACTGTACAATGCCGCGAGTCTGACGGCTGCTGCAAACATTGCGGCTGTAGCATGGTTGTTGCACGGCTGTAGCAGGGCTGTAGCAGTGCTAATGGAAGTCTTAAATACGCTCTGTGACTCGCATGACAAGTACGGCGCGGCTGCAAAGGTTGCTTTTCACAGGTGGCTTCTCAAAGGTGGATTTGTCAGCCCTTCTCATATCCCATGCCTCCCCCATTCAGCCCTGGCCAATGGTCATCCCTCGCCTCTTCCCATCTTCGCCAAAATCACAGCAGTGATTCTGAAAGACAGCTTCTTCATCACTTATCTCCTCCCCCCTCCCATGCCTCCCAATCAGCCCATGGCGAAGGGCTGCCCTTCACCGCCTCCCCTCTTTGCCAGCATCACGGCGGTGTTTCTGGAAGGCGGATTCGTCACCCCTTCCTTTGCTGACGTGGCAAGCATACTCCAGGTGGGATTCGCTACAGGTTGCTTCATCATCTCGCTATAATCTCCTTCCTGAAATTCTCCTTGTTCCTCTCACCTTTTCAGAATCCTCCCTTATCCCCTAACCATACCCATCCATAATAACTGCTGTTTATGATTTTGTTCATTTCGTTTGTTTTGTTTTGTTTTGTTTTGCTATTTTGCCTGTGTAAGAAACCCACCCATTTTCCTCCTTGGTTCGTAATCTTACCACTCTTCAAATTCCTCTCCTCCTTTCCTCCCTTACCAGTGCGGAGGCGGCACCCTCATCCCAAGCAGCGCCCTCCACTCCCCCACAGCCAAGACCCTTCTTGCTGCCTTCTCCAACCCCTTCAACAACACACTCTCAACTCCCTCTCTCCCTGTCTTCCCTTACCAGTGCGGAGGCGGCACCGCCATCCCAAGCAGCGCCCTCCACTCCCCCACAGCCAAGACCCTTCTTGCTGCCTTCTCCAACCCCTTCAACACAACAAACAGCACCACCACTGCCGCCGAAAAGACGAGAGGAGAGGAAGGGGAAACGAAAATACTCTTGGTGGTGTATGCTGACGTGCCTGCGAACACCCCCGTTGGTTCTGGTAAGATGCGGCGGGAACTGGCGCTGGTGGAGAAGCGGAGGGAAGCTGCTGGGAAGTTGGGGACGGAGGTGGGGGCTAGTGGCTGTGTGACGCATAACTGGATCATAGACTCGGCTGCTGCATTCGAGCTGAAACCATTCTGATGTGCCTGCAAACACTCCCGGTGGGTCGGGTAAGATGCGGCGGGAACTGGCGCTGGTGGAGAAGCTGAAGGAGGCTGCTGGGCTACTGGGGAAGGAGGTTGGGGCTAGTGGCTGTGTGACGCATAACTGAATCATTGACTCGGCCACTGCGTTTGAGCTCAAGGCACTTTAAACTCATTTTGGCACTTTAGGCTCATTGCTTTTGCTTCTAATGTATGCGTCTCCTGCTTTTCACTCCGAACACCTAGCTTTCTTACAATGACCGTGACGTATAACTGGATCGCTGACTTGGCTGCCGCTTTTGATATGAAGGCACTTTAGAGCTTAAACGATCCTATTTGGCACTTTAATCCTATGAGGCCTCCATTATTATTATATTAAGCTTGTGCTTGCTTTTGTTCGCACCAAGCTCTTGTAAGATTATTAAGACAGCGTCGAGCGAATTTGATATGTCATTGAAGCTATTATGTGGATACAAGGCTGCAAGCAGACCTACACATGTAGTCTCTCTTCATGGATTGATTTCAGTACTATGGTAATGATACATATTATTTCATGGTTGAGCTGTGTAATGCTATGTTTCCAATACCTCAATAATCGCTGACGCACACCATAGTATCCGCGTTTCCAACAACCCCCTTGAATTTGACTCTTCCAACCAATCAGGACTCTCCTCGGCAACACCAAGGCAACCGCTCAGCCCAGCCGATCTGCTCAAGTCCATGAATTCTTCCTTGCTGTCGTCATCTCTCCCATTCTTTCGTATTCTTCGTCTCTCTCCTCCATTCCCTCATGTCCTCCATTACCTTCCGTCATCCATTCTCTCCCTAATTACTCCACTATTCCCTCGAAGCACGCTCTCAGGCCCCTTCCTCTCCAGCCAAGGATTATTGTTCACGCCGAGTCAAGCAGAGGCCTAGCACCAAGTCGTCCTAGTTTTTAGACGTCTCGAAACACACCGAGTCGCTTGTATCATCATAGCACGGCAAGTAGTACAGGATGGCACAGTTTGCACAGCGCGGCACGGATGAACAGCGCACGGATGAACAGCGCGACACGGATGAACAGCGCGACACCGATGAACAGCAAGACATGTTTTGTACGGAAAGCATGCCGTGCTATGCACAGCAAGGCATAGGATGATGAGTCATCCAGTCGTGAAGTCAATGCAACACTTCTTCTAGCATGTCCCGAGCCGCTTATTTTCCGATTATGATCCGACTTGTATAAAAGCCAGACAAATCCAGACCCAAGCATCGCAATTCATTCGCTCTACCACTACTCCTTCCCCAGACCACCTACTCGTTTTAGTATCCTCAGAACCCAATAACTCCATTGGCTTCTTTTACCAGCGCTGCCAAATAAGTGTTCACCAACTAGTAAGCCACCAATCTCCCTGACTCCTCCGTCTGCTGCTCGACTCGTCCTATCAACAATTGACTTTTGAGGCGCCTCAACGATCAACAACCATGGCTCCTGCGAAGCTCCTCTTCGCCGTCGTCATCGCGCTCCAGGCCTCCGCGATCCTCGCGCAGACCTGCTCGTGCGCCGACTGCGAGACGGTGGCTCCTCCCTGCTACGCCAGCAGGTGAGACTTTCAGTGTAAATGCGCCCTGACTACAGCAGCAGCAGTGATGGTTTCCACTTTGACCAGAAATTGCTGGAGTCGCTGCGGGACGGTAGCGCCCTCCCTGTTACCAAAGAGAATGATTTTTTGCTAGTTACCCCCTCCCTCTCCCACCCTCCGTCCACCCCTGCAGGTGGTATACGTGGTGGATCAAGGACGACTGCAGCTCGCAGACCCTCTGGAACAGCGTCAAGGCGTCATCCGACATCCGCAGCAGCGTGTTCGCCGTCTGGGGCCCGGGCACCCAGGGAGCCACCTCCAGTTTCCAGAGCTATGTCCTCATGGCAGCAGGCAACACCCGGAACCCCCAATGCGTGAAGAATTATCTTCTGGATTGGATCAAATGCAAAGCTGCTCCGACGGATTCGGCGGTGCAGTTTTATAACTCGGCGCTGGGCGTGGGTGTGAGCGGGATCAAGGATGTGAGGAGCATGAACACGTTTGTGACAGCGGTGATTAAGAAGATTGGGCAGAGCGTGTTTAATACCCTGGCTGGGATGCTCAGGCAGCGTGGGTTGCAGGCGCAGGTGGTGATGGCAGGCACGTGGTGCTAGATGGTTTTGGTGGTGCATTGGAGGCAGTGTGGGGCAACAGGGCGCTGCAGGCGAGGTGAGGCGGTGATTAAGAAGATTGGGCAGGGCGTATTTCACACGCTGGTGGGGATGCCAAGGCAGCGCGGGTTGCAGGCGCAGGTGGTGATGGCAGGCACGTGGTGCTAGATGGTTTGGGTGGTGCATTGGAGGCAGTGTGGGGCACCAGGGCGCTGCAGGCGAGGTGAGGCGGTGATTAAGAAGATTGGGCAGGGCGTATTTCACACGCTGGTGGGGATGCCTAGGCAGCGCGGGTTGCAGGCGCAGGTGGTGATGGCAGGCACGTGGTGCTAGACGGTTCTATGGCCAGTTGATTGTTTCAGAGTGCTGAGAGAGTTATGTAACTCTGCTAGTTTGTGGTTGGTGCGTGGTATGGGTAGGTAGCTTGCTGGGCTTGTTTGTGCCATTCATTTCTGGCTAATGTTATCCTACTGAGTTTCTTCTTTTAGTAATGCAGGTGCATTCGCAATACAGCTTTACTCCAGCCAGAGAAAGTGAATAAAAAGCAAAAATAATAACCAATCTCCAACACCTCTCTCACAACTGGAGAGTATTGCACATCAAGGGGTTGCAGTGTAACTGTAACTGGTATGGGATGGGAGATTTGAACAAAAGCTCCGAGCTGTTGCCATACCGCCTTACTGATACCATGCCGCCATGCCATCATGTCACCATGCCACCACGACACCATACTGTTCCATCCATGTTCCCTTGCCGTGTGCCGCCATGCTGCCATGTCACCATACTGCCATACCACGAGGTGTGGTTGTTGCCAGTACGAATCATCAGCACCTGTTGGATTGGATTGGATTGGATTGGATTGGGTTGGATTGGATTGGAACTAAAAGGGCGTGTAAAATCGCCAACTTCAGAAAATTTGCCAAATCCGTCGGGCCGTTGTTGGCGAAAGTAACCAGTTGACGACGTTCGAGAGGAAAATTCACGACCGCCGTTAATTTCGTGAATATTTTGCGAATTTGATGGCCGTTTTCTCGTAACGACTCGGAACCGACGGCGAGTCGACTCCAAACCGGCCACGTATCCGACCAGTCGTTGCGACAATCGCATTTCCAAGTCGCACACTAACCTTCTATTCCCGTGTCCAGTCACAGAATGTGCCAATATTGGAATCAAGTGTGTGACACCGTCACACACTTATGAATCTGCAGATTTTACAAGTTTTTGGAACCGGCCAGCAAATCGGCCCCCAAACCTGTAAAATTTGCAGATCTGCAAAAGGTGGCTGAAAATGTGACGACACGAAAGTCGACCATTCCGTCGACTTCCGCAAAAGAAATGCCGACCATATGGTCGACGAATATCCGGCCAAACCCAATTTTCGCATGTGAGCGGGGATTTTACACGCCCTAAATCAAGGAACAGTTATTTCTTCAACACAAGAATCTGCCACCACCACCATCACCAGCAGCAACTGAAAGCTTTCCCATACGCACCCTGCTCTTCCAAGCAGCATCACTCACTTCACTGGAAGGCACTTTTTGCTATCTCTTCTCATCTCATCTCTTCTCATCTCATCTCATCTCATCTCATCCTCCCTCTGACTAAGCCATCTTCTCTATAACCCTGCCCTGGGGGAATGTGCCTGCCGTCACTCACTTCACAGGAGGGCAAGTTCGGCTACTCATCTCATCTCAACCTTGCCCTGGGGATGGATTAAGGCCCTAAACCTTAAACCCTGAATGTGCCTTCACTCACTTGACTGAAGGGCACGTTCGGCTACTCATCTCATCTCAACCTTGCCCTGGGGATGGATTAAGGCCTTAAACCCTAAACCCGAAACCCTGAATGTGCCTTCACTCACTTGACTGGAGGGCACGTTTGGCTCCTCATCCTCCCGAGCACGATGCTCACTCCACTGTACTGCGCGTAGGCTCGGCCGAAGCTGAGCGCCAGGGTCGGTTGCTTGTTGCGGTAGGTGCAGCGCTGGTACATGCGGTTCGGGTTCCTACCCCCCTTTCTCCGGCACGGGCTGGTGGGTGGAGGTGGGTACAGAGGAGTACAGAGAAGTGAAGAGGAGTGAAAGACAGAAACACACGTGCAGCGCTGGTACATGCGGTTTGGGTTCCTACCCCCCTTTCCCCGGCACGGGCTGGTGGGTGGAGGTGGGTACATAGGAGTACAGAGGAGTGAAGAGGAGTGAAAGACAGAAACACACGTGCAGCGCTGGTACATGCGGTTTGGGCTCCGACCCCCCTTACACCGGCATGGGCTGGAGGGCAGAGGGGGAGAACATGGGAGTGTAGAGGAGTGCAGAGGAGTTCCGAGGATTTCAGAGAGCATGTAAATGCAGTTCGGGTCCCGCTGGAGGGTGGAGGAGGAAGACAGGAGTGCCGAGGAGTGCAGACGAGCAACGATAAACAAAGTTGAGCAAGTGAAAGGGATGGTGGGTGGGTGTGGGTAGGAAGGAGTACAAATGAGTGCAAAGAATTGGATAGAAAAACAAGTGCGAGCATGTGCATGGGAGCATGGTAAATCCAGGCTACCATCCCTTTCAGTCAACTCACACGGTGACTCCGACAACAAACCACCCCTTTGAGATGACTCAGTACTTACAGCTGGGGAAGATACTCAATTGTCCTCCATTTAGTCGCTCTCGTCTGAGGTGCAATCCGCAGCTCCAGCCCTCCAGCCCTCCCTCACCCCTCAACTCACGGTACCTCTGACAGCAAACAACCCTCACTTAGTACTTACAGCTGGGGCACATTCGTGATAGTCCTCCATTGAGTTGCTCTCGTCCGCGGTACAATCCTCAGCTCCAGCCCTCCAGTGCACCCCCCTTTGGCAGAGGGGTCCAGGGAGGAGTGAAGAGGAGTGCAGAAGAGTGCAGAGGAGTGAAGAGGAGTGCAGAGGAGTACAGAGGAGACTTACAGCTGGGGTACATTCGTGATAGTCCTCCATTGAGTCCCTCTCGTCCGCGGTACCATCCTCAGCTCCAGCCCTCCAGCGCACCCGCCTTTATCCAGCACTCGAACCGTCATATTTGCAGGGTAAAACCCCCTATTTACACTCGGCGGGGTGATTTCCACCGAATAAGCGTGCCCCGCTAAGAGAGTAGCCGATATCGTTCGAAGAACAGGCCGGGATCCTTTGTACAGTTTGGAATAGTCGTTTCGGTCTCCTAGAGAAAAGAAATAGGCTCGGTCGGTTAGTCGGGTGAACTTTGCTGTGGAGTAGGGTCGGATCCGGCGCCTCTTGATTTGGTTCCGCGATAGGTTCGGCACGCCGTACTCCAGGTAGGTCAGGGCGATGGCTCGGTAGCAAACGGACCTGGTGGGGAGGTACGGAGGAGGAAACGGAGAAGGAAGAAAGGAGTTCAGATTGAAACACACTTGAATCTGAGGGGCAGATAAGCTTTTTGTAGGATAAGCGATTTCCTCGGAACCTGGAATGGAATGTTCACGTGCTGAAGTGAGCGGTTTTGACACTCCAAATGCTACCCAAAATTCTGAGACACCTCAAACCTCCAGCTCTGCAGCAACCCAGAGCAAGGATGCCCCGCACCGTACCTGACACACAAGCTCGGAAACGCACAAACCTGCACGAGTAGAGCGACCACGTGTCATGGTACTGGCAGAGGGAGGTTCGGACCGAGGCTGGCGGCAGGATCGGGTGGAACGGAGCAACGAGGTAGGCCGGGCGGGCAGCGCTGGGGAAGGCTGGAGAGGAAGAGGTGAGGAAAGAGCCATCGGCATCGTGCAGCGCGTAGAACCGAGCGTTACTGCCACCTCGGGGGACAGGGCGGTTGGGCTGGAGGGAACGGAGAGGAGGGGGAGTCGGAAGGGAGAGGGGGGTTCAGCAGAGGGGAGATCAATTCAGGAGAAGAAAGAGCCATCGGCATCGTGTAAAGCGTAGAATCGAGCGTTGGACCCCCCTCGTGGGACAGGCCGGTTGGGCTGGAAGAAAGAAAAGGGGGGGAGGAAAGGAGAGGGGCAGAGAGAAAGGGAATCAAGGAGAGGAAGGAACCATCGGCGTCGTGTAAAGCGTAGAATCGAGCGTTGGACCCCCCTCGTGGGACAGGGCGGTTGGGCTGGGGAGGGAAGGGGAAAGCAGATGGGAGATCAAAGGAAGGAGAGGAAGGAGCCGTGGGCATTGTGGAGGGCGTAGAACCGAGCGTTGGAGCCACCTCGGGGGACAGGGCGGTTAGGCTGGAGGGGAGATTGGGAGAGGGGGGAGAGGGGGGAAGATGGAGAGGGGGGAGAGGGGGGAAGATGGAGAGGGGGGAGAGGGGGGAAGATGGAGAGGGGGGAGAGGGGGGAAGATGGAGAGGGGGGAGAGGGGGGAAGATGGAGAGGGGGGAGAGGGGGGAAGATGGAGAGGGGGGAGAGGGGGGAAGATGGAGAGGGGGGAGGGGGGAAGATGGAGAGGGGGGAAGAGGAGGTTGGTAGAGCGGAGGTTAAAGGGAGGAGAGGAAGGAGCCATGGGCATCGTGGAGGGCGTAGAACCGAGCGTTAGAGCCACCCCTGGGGACAAGGCGGGGCTGGAGAGGTGAAGGGGGGGTGGGGTGGTAAGGGGAAGGGGCGCAGATTAGAAATCAAGTAAAGAGAGGAAAGAGCCATCGGCATCGTGGAGGGCGTAGAACCGAGCGTTAGAGCCTCCCCTGGGGTCAGGGCGGTTGGGCTGGTGGGAGGAATGGGAGAGGGAGAGAACGGGGAGAAGGAGGCGGGGAGAGGGGAAGTCAAGTAACGAGAGGAAAGAGCCATCGGCATCGTGCAGAAGAATGGGCATCGTGCAGGGCATAGAACCGAGCGTTGGAGCCACCTCGGGGGACAGGGCGGTTGGGCGGTAAGAAGGGAAGAGGAAGGCGTAAGAGGGGAGGGGGAAAGTCAAGAAAAGAGAGGGAGGAACCATCGGCATCGTGCAAAGCATACATCCGAACGTTGGAGGAGGGGAATGGGGAAGTTTCATTGGGACAGGACGGTTGGGCCGGGGAGGGGAATGGTGGAGGAGAAGGGAGGGTGCATGTACCACACAAAGTACAGCACTTACCACAAATAGCAGCACTTACCACAAATAGCAGCACTTACCACAAATAGCAGCACCTACCACAAATGGCAGCACTTACCACAAATAGCAGCACTTACCACAAATAGCAGCACTTACCACAAATAGCAGCACTTACCACAAATAGCAGCACTTACCACAAATAGCAGCACTTACCACAAATAGCCGCACGTACCACAAATAGCCGTATGTACCTTCAATAGCAGCACTTACCACAAATAGCAGCACATAGCACAAGCAGAAGCACGTACCGCATTGGGAACAGCATAGAGCCGTCTTGTGGCAGATGTGAATTGAAGGCCCTGAGACAAGAGAGCACATACTCGAAATAGAAGCACGTACCGCAAATAGCAGCACATACCGCAAATAGCAGCACGTACCGCATTGGGAACAGCATAGAGCCGTCTTGTGGCAGATGTGAATCGAAGGCCCTGTTTCAGGAAATTGCAGAAAGGAGAGCGGGAAAAGGAAGGGACGAGGGTTGAGCGGGATGTAAATCTTGAGAGGAGGAGGAGTGAGATTTTGGGTTTCGGGTTTCGGGTTTAGGGAAAAGGGAGGAGAGAGGGGTGATAGGGGGCAATGGGAGGGTGCTAGGAGCAGCAACGAGCTACCTTGTGGCAGATGCGGAACGCACACGCAACTCCCCTTCTCTTATGCTCCCTTACACTCTCTCGCTGTTCACGCTCGCTCACTCCCTCTCACCTTCACACTCATGGCTGGGTTCCAGAACCCGCCTACCTTATTCACAGCCAGAACCACGGCAGAGCTCTTCAGAGTGGGGCCGCATTCACACTCATTCTCACTTACCCTCACTTAATCTCGCTCACTCTCTCGCTCAATCACTCCCTCTCTCACCTTCACACTCATTGCCGGGTTCCAGAATCCGCCTGCCTTATTCACTGCCAACACCAGGGAAGAGCTCTTCAGGGCATGGCTGCACTCACCCTCTCTTACACACACATCAACACAGCGACACTCCCTCCCTTACACCCTCTCACCTTCACACTCATCGCTGGGTTCCAGAATCCGCCCGCCTTATTCACTGCCAACACCAGGGCGGAGCTCTTGAGTGTGGGGCCGCATTCACCAAACCCCGAGAACCTGATGTGTTGAGGGAAGAGGGAAGAGGGGAAAGCGGGGAAGACGAGAGATGAGGGTTGTTGTGAGGATCTTTTGAGTCGACTCAAAAGTCACGAGGGTTGTTGTGAGGATCTTTTGAGTCGACTCAAAAGTCATGAGGGTTGTTGTGAGGATCTTTTGAGTCGACTCAAAAGTCATGAGGGTTGTTGTGAGGATCTTTTGAGTCGACTCAAAAGTCATGAGGGTTGTGAGGATCCTAAGCAGAGAAGAGCTCTTCAGAGTGGGGCCGCATTCCCCAAACCCCGAGAACCTGATGTGATGCGGAGAAGGGAAAAATGAGAGAGGAGGATGAAGCGAGAGGTGTTTTTTTGAGTCGCCTCAACAAAGTACGCTACAGAAAAGAAAAAAAACACACCCCACACAGAGTGCCTGCAACAAAGTATGTCGCCACACAGCACACAGTATGTCGCCACACAGCACACAGTATGTCGCCACACAGCACACAGTATGTCGCCACACAGCACACAGTATGTCGCCACACAGCACACAGTATGTCGTCACACAGCACACAGTATGTCGCCACACAGCACACAGTATGTCGCCACACAGCACACAGTATGTCGCCACACAGCACACAGTATGTCGCCACACAGCACACAGTATGTCGCCACACAGCACACAGTATGTCGCCACACAGCACACAGTATGTCGCCACACAGCACACAGTATGTCGCCTCAACAAAGTACGCTACAGGAAAAAAAACAATCACACCCCACACAGAGTGGGGCCGCACTCATTCAACAAAACCCCGAGAACCTGATCAGCATCACCCCAATGGGATGTGCCATGCCTTCTGTCCAACAGCCAACCCCCTCTACCCCTCCACACCCCTTCCTCTCACCTGCTAGCATGCCGCTCAGCTTCACTTGGCTCAGCATCACCCCAATGAGGCTCTTGAACGTGCCATGTCCACTTCCCTCCTACAGCCAACCCCTTTTACCCCCCACTTCCCCCTGTCCTAATGCCTTTTTCTTCTCTCTCACCTGCTGTTCACCACCCTGTTCGCCTCTAACATGCCGCTCAGCTTCACTTGGCTCAGCATCACCCCAATGGGGCTCCTTCCCACCAATGGGGCAGCCAATAGAACTTCCCCTCCCACCACTTCCACAGCCAACCCCGTCTGTCCCCCTGCCCTCCTTCCGTCCCTTTGGTCTCTCACCTGCTATTAACCACTCTGTTCGCCTCCAGCATGCCGCTCAGCTTCACTTGGCTCAGCATCACGCCAATGGGGCTCTTGAACGTGCCGTCGTCCCCACCCCTCTTACTGTCAGCCCTTTACCCCCCATCTCTCACCTTGAGTTGACGACCCTATTCGCCTCCAGCATGCCGCTCAGCTTCACTTGGCTCATCATCACCCCGATGGGGCTCTTGAACGTGCCGCCGTCCCGCGAGTAAAAGCCCGCTGCAACTCCACCCCTCGTCGCCATCTCCTTTACCCTCCTCACCGCCTCAATCTCTCTGCCCCCATACTCCTCCTCTTCCTCTTCTTCTTCCTCCTCCTCTTCGTCTACCTCATTGCCATCCTCATTATCGTTGTAAACTGTTTCATCATCATTATAAAGTAATTTATCTTCATTATAAGCTGACCCATCCTTTATATAAGTGCTAAGAACTTTCGCAGTAGATTCACCCACCCCCTCGTCATCTCCCTCATCCCCGTTATAAGCTGATCCATTGCTCTCTCCACGCACTCTCCTCCTCTTCCTCCATCCCCACTTCCCTCCCCTTCCCACAACCCCTTTAGTAGCTGCTTCAGCTGTCTCACTATAATAATCCTCGCTATAGTCATCCTCCATACTGTACTGTGGCGCTGTGAGCATCAAACCAGGCGACTGCCAGTTTGACGTTGTGTACCCTTCCATTTCATCCTCGTTAGTAGCAGCTTCAACGTGCAGGCTAGACGATGCTGCTCCTGCTGGTATTTGTGCTGTTGCATGTGTTGATGGCATGAGTGGTGTTGGTGCGTGTGTTGACGGCAGTAGCTGTGGCGGGGGGGTTGGTGGCATTAGGTGTGTCGATGCAGCATCATACGGTGTTGACCCTCCGCCTCCGGAGGATTTGCTGTTGGGGCACAGGGGAAGGAGGAAACATACGGCATTAGCTGTGGTGTTGCATGTGTTGATGGCATTAGCAGTGTCGGTGCGTGTGTTGATGGCAGGAGTAGATGGCAGTTGCATGTGTTGGCGGCATGAGTGGTGGAGGGGTTGACAGCATGAGTTGTTTCGGTGCAGCATCATAAGGGATTCAACTCCCGGAAGAATTTGCAGCATCGTAAGGTGTTGACCCTCCAGATGATTTGCTGTTGGGGCAGGGGAGGGAGGAAGTGCATGTGCTGATGGCATGAGCTGTGGAGGGGTTGATGGCAGGCGGTGTGTCGATGCAGCATCATACGGTGTTGACCCTCCGCCTCCGGAGGATTTGCTGTTGGGGCAAAGGGGAAGGAGGAAACATATGGCATTAGCTGTGGTGTTGCATGTGATGAGGGCATTAGCGGTGTCGGTCCTTGTGTTGATGGCAGCAGTAGCTGCGGCGGGGTTGACGGCATGAGCTGTGGAGGGGTTGACGGCATTAGTTGTTTCAGTGCAGAATCATACGGTTTTGAGCCTCCAGATGATTTGCTGTTGGGGCAAAGGGAGGGAGGAGATACGTACAAGGGGAGCAGTGGGAATGGGGAAAAGCTATTTGAGTCAACACAAAGGGAAGGAGGAGATATGTACAAGAGGAGCAGTGCATGCAAGTGGACAACAGGAGCAGGGGAGGATGCGGATGAAAAAGCTGGACTGGCTAGAAGCGTTAACTGCACTGCACAGTATCTATTTTGCAGTGCCTGCACTGCACACAGTATCACACAATTACCCGCAGGCAGTGCAAGCGGACAAAAGGAGCACGCGAGGGAGGATGAGGATGCAAAAGCTGGATTGGCTAGCAGCGTTACCTGCTGCAACTGCACAGAATGTCTTATGCAGTGCCTGCAGTGCACACAGTATCACACAATTACCCGCAGGCAGTGCAAGCGGACAACAGGAGCAGGCGAGGGAGGATGAGGATGCCGAAGTGGGATTGGCTGCCAGCGTTACCTGCAACTGCACAGTATGTCTTATGCAGTGCCTGCACTGCACTGCACACAGTAGTATCGCGGTTACCTGCAGCAGGCCATACGGTACGGCCAATGAAGGAGCAGGCGAGGGAGAATGAGGATGCCGAAGTGGGATTGGCTAGCAGCGTTACCTGCCAGCGTAACAGTATGTCTTATGCAGTGCCTGCACTGCACTGCACTGCATATAGTAGTATCACGGTTACCTGCAGGCGGTGTGGCCGATGAAGGTGCATGCGAGGATGAGAATCCCGAAGTTGCGATTCAGATCGATGGCGATGCGGTTGTTCAGGAAGGTGGCGTGGATAGGATGGTTGCATAGCATTGCATGTTTTGCTACACAAACTCATATCCGCACCCACCCATGTGAGAGTGTTACCTGCTGCAAGCAGTGCGGCCGATGAAAGTGCATGCAAGAATGAGGATGCCAAAGTTGCGGTTGAGGTCGATGGCAATGAGGTTGTTCAGGAAGGTGGAATGGCCGATGGTGATGCTCTGGCTGTTGTACAGGAATACACTGGGAGGGAGAGTGGGGGGTGGAAGGGTGGACAGGGGAGTTGCGGTTGAGATTGATGGCAATGCGGTTGTTGACGAAGTTGAGTGGCCGACGGTGATGCTCTGACTGTTGCA